ACGGACGTTTCCCGCCCAACAGCAGTCTCTAATACCTCTGGTAGATGGGGGAAGCATTATAGATACCTCTCAGCTAGTAGAGCCGGTCTCGCTGGCTGGGCGGGACTGATGGTAAGCACCAGTACCGGTAGGATATAGAGACTGGCAGAAATCATAGAGGGAAGCACAATGGACCAATACAGGTCTCAGTGCATGGGGAAACCCACCCTTTCCAATAACTAACTAACTACCTGAGTATGGAGACAAAATCCAGTCTCTGAAATATCTTTAAATAAAGATAGGACAATGGATAATGTACAGAACATCATTCATTGTAGTGCATATTTTATTTTAGACAAAACAAAGTATGGATTTTAACTGATGATATTTTTATTTTATCAGTTACAATATAAATTAAACCTTCAGATATACCAGCTATAAATACAACATAGTCACTTCTGATAATAGCAGAAAACAAGTAAAAACATTGAGGGTGGTCAAAGACTTTATGTTGTATTTATGTTTGTGTTATCAGATGGTTTCATTTATATTGTAAAATACAGATTTTTTCCCCCGGTTTTTATTGCAATCAATTGTGCTGGGATAATTAAATTGCGGTGATAGCAGTTGTTATCGACATCATCGTCGTTTTCCCACCTGAGGTGAGAATAGTCGGACTGTCTGGATTCCCAAGTCTTCAGCAGGCAACATTGAATTTTCTGTGGGAGAAACAAGTTCATATACAAATTCCTGTCTCCGCTAAGATTAGTCTTGTCCATAGTCAAATACAGTTTGATAATTGAAGACAAATTCAGCACAGAAATTATTTGGGGGATGTCGCATACTACATGTCTCCCATTATTTACTGGTGTGCACCACATTGTGGTATTACAAAATAATAATTATATAACAGTGAAAAATTTTTGCACATAATTTATACCAGTATTTAAACATATTTACATATTTCCTTTAAGATCTGCACTGTCATCATTCATATAATTTTCAACATAAAAATATGTTCTGTGCAAGATAAGAAGGCTACTTATGATATATCACTGTACTAAATTAAATTTCTCAGGCATTCCTATAATTGTTCCTCAGTTTTCACCTCCAAATACAAGAATAAATATATATTCCCTATGATTCTCATGTTATAATGTTATATTATATGCAGAAATTGCAATAACTGTTTTAAGCTTTATCATCACTAAAAACTTGGGAAATTTTCTCCTCAAAAGTTGGCAGTTATATTAAGGTTGTGGATGATAGGAAATTAGAAGCATGAAGGTGAGGTAGCCTCCAGGGTCATGCATATACTGAAAGGTTTCATGACAATGAATACATTGATGTTAAAGCTACTAGAAGACAAACAAATTAAAATGGTGTCATGTGTCTTTATTTACATGTAAAGTAAGGAACATATCTTTTTAAGTCATGATTGAAACAACTGCAGTGCTTTGGATATGTGACAGCATTACCTCAGGAATAGGAGGTAATTCTGATACACTACTATTGCAGAGCCCTAAGAATCGTACAGCTGGAACGGCCCTCAGTTCACTCCAGCATCTGTTATCCTATCTTATGCATATACGCCTGACACGAACCATCCATCGAAATCTGCTGATGGTAGAATCTGCACAGGCTGCTCTGTCAGAGAAGAATGAGGTAAGTCATTCAAAAATGTGTGTCTCAAGATAGTATGTGTTAAAATGTCTTTGTAAGTGTATGATCATCAGGTAGTGATGTAGATTTTCATGTCATTATCACTAGAAATGCTAGTATTAGAATCTGTTTTCAATGTACAGTGTGAACTAAAATTTGCATACTGAAGTTTGCCAAAATGAAGTGTGACAACCCTTTAGAGATGTGTTAGACGAAGTATAAGATGCTCTTAGACAGTACTCTACCTACCAAGCTTAATTGTTCATATGACTGAGTGTCAGTAAATAGGTCACAAATGGATATAAAACGTAAAATATGCAATATCGAAACCTGGGAAAAACATTTGTTTCTTGACATATCCTCCAAAAACTTTGATATACTTGTCCCATCACTTTACCTGTTTGTCGAAACCCGCAGGATAGAAGTCTTTGGACTGCTGTCTCAGCCACTTCCACACCTCTGTTTCAACCTCTTTGTCATTAATGAAACATCTACCACCAAGATGGTTAATTAGCAAGCCAAAGAGATGGAAGTAACTAAGGACCAATTATGGGCTGTAAGGCAGATGTTGGGGAAGCTCCCACTGTAGTTCTTGAATTCTCTGCTGCATTGCTCAGGGTCTGTGGGGCCTGGCATTGTCACGATGAAGCAGTACCCATATTGCCAGTTGGACTAGACTTTTTCTTCAAATTATATCCCGAAGCTTCAAGAGATCTTCACAGTACGATGCTAAATTCAGATTTTCACCATGCTTCTGAAAATGGGCCAACAGTGCTCCTTCAGAATCCCAGAACACAGTAAGCATAACCTTCCCATCTGATTGTGTAACCTTAAACTTTTTGGTTGTAGTTGAACTGGGCTATTTCCATTGCATTGAAGCATGGTTTGATTTGGGTTGGTCGTGATCCAGCCATGATTCATCCACAGTAACAATCTTGTTAAGCATACCTTCCCCTTCAACTGCATACCATAAGAGATGTTGCAAGGACAGGTCCGTTTGATTAATTTTTTCTCAGTTCTTCAGTTCTCCCTCATATGCAGCAGATCCAGCCATTAGTCCATACACATTTTCAGATCCCCACACCAGCTGGAGGTGATTAGTTGGCTTTACATTTTGTTCAGTTTGACACTTCCCTCTTCAGTAGTATTTTAGATACCCATAGGATAGAGCCTGGAAGACTGAAAACTGTAGATACCCATAGGATATGGAGCCTGGGAGACTGAAAACTGTAGATACCCATAGGATATGGAGCCTGGGAGACTGAAAACTGTAGATACCCATAGGATATGGAGCCTGGGAGACTGAAAACTGTAGATACCCATAGGATATGGAGCCTGGGAGACTGAAAACTGTAGATACCCATAGGATATGGAGCCTGGGAGACTGAAAACTGTAGATACCCATAGGATATGGAGCCTGGGAGACTGAAAACTGTAGATACCCATAGGATATGGAGCCTGGGAGACTGAAAACTGTAGATACCCATAGGATATGGAGCCTGGGAGACTGAAAACTGTAGATACCCATAGGATATGGAGCCTGGGAGACTGAAAACTGTAGATACCCATAGGATATGGAGCCTGGGAGACTGAAAACTGTAGATACCCATAGGATATGGAGCCTGGGAGACTGAAAACTGTAGATACCCATAGGATATGGAGCCTGGGAGACTGAAAACTGTAGATACCCATAGGATATGGAGCCTGGGAGACTGAAAACTGTAGATACCCATAGGATATGGAGCCTGGGAGACTGAAAACTGTAGATACCCATAGGATATGTAGCCTGGGAGACTGAAAACTGTTCTGGATGTGTTAGTGAGAAGAAGACATCTCTGTACCATTGCCAGGATCAAGCCAGATCAGTTGTTAAATTAGGGTCTTCAGAACAAAAATCTTGAGCCTTCCTCTGATACCATTATCAGCAGGTTCCCTAGTTTACATAAAAACATATATCTTAACAGTTGCTGTTATGTATTAATTATTCATGTAATATTTTGGAGTTAACAGAATTTTCACGCTGCCTGAGTTAGAGTGTTTTCACGGAAATAACATTGCAGATTTTCTATTCCATTAGGGTGGAGGGGAGGGGCGCAGGACTCGCCCACAGGATCTGACTCGTTTGTATGAGATAATCCTGCAGAATTATGGCGAGTTACAGCAGTTGCCTGGCCTGGAGGATGACCTAAAGTATCAGCAGGAGATTGAGACTAAAACCAAGGCCTACCGCGCATTTAGGTACAGCAGCAGAATTTGTTGTCTTCTGTGTTGACGTTACAGTTCTCCATTTATCTCCCTTACTTTTGAAACATATGAGTAGTATCCATGGTCTCAGAGAAAGTTTATTTCACTTCCCTAACTGGATAAATAACCCTGTAATGACATAAGTTTCCCCCCACTTGTATCTCGATTTTGTTGTGGTGGGGTTTGCATGCCTAAATGAACCTGAGAGCTGTGCTCTTGGTAACGTGTGTTGTCAGTAGGGCCTTCCTTGCCGGATAGGTCAAAGGCAATAGGACAGACCAAAAGAGATGCCCAGGTCCTCCAGGTTTGGGGCTGGGACATGGTGCTGACCTCATCCCTGTAAAAAATATATAAACTGTTAGGAAACCTCAGATGACAGCCTCTGCGATAGTGGATGGATCTAACTATATATGACATGACATGAAAAAAACTAAGAATTGGAACGTGGAATGTGTTGACTGTATAAAAGGGGAGCCTTAAAACAACTTGAAAAAGTACTGCAGGATTACAAGGTAGATACAGTGGCACTACAGGAAATATGTTGGATTGGACAAGGTGTTTTGGACAAGAGGAACTGCAGTGTGTGTACTATTGCTGACAAAAAAGTAAACATGAATTTTGATGCGGATTCATAGTAAATTCTAAAATTAAACATTCAGCAATTGACTTCAAACCTATTAATCACAGACTGTACCTTGAGGGTTATAGGGAGATTTAATAATTTAAGCTTAATATGTGCACATGCACCAACAAAAGAGAAAAATGAATATATTAAAGATAGCTTTTATGAGGAGTTGGAAACCGTTGGTACCAGTCTCCTTGGAGACTGCAATGCTAAGGTAGGGTTCAAAGATCAAGACAGATCTGTTGGGAACTGTGGAGTGCATGAGGAAAGTAATGATAATTAACCAAGATTAATTGGATTGGCTAATGCACTGAGCATAGTAATTGGAAGTACTACATTCCCCCAAAGAAGATACATTTTTCAACTTGGTGGTCGCCGTATGGCACAACAAATAATCAGATTGATCACATAGTGATTGATGCAAGTCATGAAAATAATATGATGGATGTTAGGGCTTATTGGGGTGCAAATGCTGATTCAGACCATTATCTTGTTACTACCAGAATAAGGGCAAATATTAGTTGCCCAGAATACTGTCCAAATAAAGAAAAAACAATAATATACAACATAAGCAACCTAAAACAGGCAAAGTTCAGGAAAGAATATCAGCAAAAAAGTAAAGATTTATATCAGGAGATAGGGGAAGGAGTGACAGTTGAAGAGTGGGCCAACTTTGAATCAATTCTTAAAGCAGCAGCAGCAGAGGAAAGTATTGGGAAAGTTAAAATGGACATTAGGAATGGATGGTTTGGTGAAGAGTGGGAAATACCAGAGAATACTTCAAAGGAAATTGACCAGCACAGCTAGAGATGAATACTATAAAGCTAGAATGAAAGAAAGAAGGATCCATAAGAAGAAAAAGGACTACTATGAAATACAAATGGCTACGAGAATGCGATACTAAAATATGACAGTAGGAAGTTCTACAAGCAAGTGAATAGAACAAAAGATCGCTTCCAGTCTAAACCATTGAGTTACAGAAGCACAGAATAACCTGAATAGATAGAAGGAGTATTTTCAAAATCTGTATGATATGACAGAGGATAATTTGGAAATTCCTCCACAGTGAACATCACCATCTACTGATGGAGCTGAAGAAATACCAATACCTACCTTGGAAGAGGTGAATTTTGCAGTTTTAAATTAAAAAATAACAGAGCTTCAGGGCCAGATTGACTGAATGCCAGACTTTTAAAAGTAGATCAAATGAGTCTCATACATAGACTACGGAAGTTCCGCTTCATCTGTCTTAGCCCGCCCCCCATTGTTGTCACAACCATGGAAAAACATGGGTAAGGTAGTTTTTATATTAATATCAGAATTTTGGAAAGTAGGTGAGATCTGTTTTTAATTTATACTTTTAATTTCATAGTCATGAATTTAATTAATTTTGCTGTTTCTTGGTATTTGAAATTTGAAAAATTTTCAAGTTATATTATTATTGTAGCATGTACAGCCATTGCTATGCAATGAACGCAAGATAGGTAAATAAACAATAGTGTTATGCAACTCATTTCTAGGCAACGGTTCAGTAAATACATTCCCACAGCAATGAATATGCATGCAACAATAGAGTTACTGTTGAAAATGGTGATTCGTACTCAGTCTCTGCTAGGGGGTTATAAGGAAGACAGTTGGGGCGACCCAATCAGTTGAGAGTTGAGTTCTGCAAGGGAAGTTGAGAAAAGATGGCACTATATTTCAGTTCACAGTTCGGTTGTGGGACAGTCACCAGCTGGTAAGAACATGAGCACAGAAGCTGAAGAATCTCCACTAATAGAAGCCGTTGCCAGGGAATGGCTATTAAAGACATATCAGGCTGGAGAAGACTTAGCATGTAGTGATTTGTAATGCATGTAGATCAGTGATAGCATTGTTTACTTGTAGTTCTTAGTGTTGGGTATAAGTGGTCAGTAAATCCATTCACCAGTCCATACCTTGTCTGTAGTCACATAAATTGTGACAATATACAACTTCAGAACACATGTACATTATGACAAAGAATCTACCCGTTTCCAAGACTTTTTGTTAGGTTTCATAATCTGGTTTCAGAAAATGTTTTTGATCGGTTTATTGAAAAGAGTACTTAGTGTAGACCACAGCTAATTTGTATCCAGTCCTTACTTCGTAAGAGACTTTCATCCTGTTTGGTATTGGGCTGTAGGTATTGCTTAGTATATTCGAGTGAGTACATTTATTTATTTTTATCACTTTACAACTTAGCTGATAGTATTTATCAGTATTTGAATACAGTGTCCCTGCACAGTTGTTGATAAGAAAGTGAAAATACATCCATGCTGTATTACGGTGAGTCCTCAGCTGGTCTTGCTACGAACAGTTGGCAAAGGTAAGAAGACTGCAACATAGGATTAGGCCACATGTGCACCAGTGGCTGTTTAAAAGTTACAAGCAGCTGTGTCTTCAGACAGGTCTGTGACTCACTGCTAACCAGTTATCTTCATTGTGACTGATGTTGCATGTCATTTGTTATGTTAGTAAACTGCAAGTGTATGTTTGATATATAGAAGCTGAGGAATGACTAGATTAAATTAAAGTGGTATTTTTTAAATGACTTTTGCATCATGACCATCCTGAATCTGTTCTGCATCAAAGAGTGACCTAGTAACATGACACATCTGTCATGTACAGATGTTTCTACATAGCTCAGAGCCTTGTTGGATTGCGGCGGTGGCGAGAGGGCATGGCATTGTACCAGCGTGCGGAACAGTATGTCAGAGAGGCCCTTGAAGCCAGCAATGCCTCACAAGCCCTAGACAGCAAGTTACATACCCAACTACAAACCCTTAGTCATGACATAGAAGGGCAGGTATTCTCCGCACATGCTCATAGTGTGTTGGAGGGTGAGGGAGTTCAGGATGAGGAAGGTGGATCCATCCAAGTTGGCACAAAGACAAACTACAAAAGCAAGAAGGTATGTACAGTAAAATATGTTTTCATATACAGTGTAACTTCAATATAATGAGAATTTATAAAATTCATAAAACTGGTCATTCTTTCAGACAGGAACCCATAATATCTTAAAGTAGTTGAAATACATAAAAGGGATTGGTATGATTATGTCAGGATTTCTTCTTCTTTGATGTGGTTATCACAGAGATATAAAAATAATAAAGCATAATTCAGTGTTTGGGTTGGACCAGAAAGAAATATTCACTAAATATGGCATTTCACTGTACCACAAAAGAAAAATCTGTGAATAAGAGATGTAACTCCTCCTTGGAAAAAGAAGCTCACCAGTATGTCTGAATTAGGTCCACTGAACTTGGAATTTAACCAGTCAGTAACCGTGACTTAATTTGCAGCACCTCTTGTTCTTGTTAGTTTTATATGAACTACTCGCTAACTGTACTTTAGAAACACCCTGCTTCTGATTCTGTGTTCTCCACCTTTTGTATTGCCCTGCTGTCCCCAAAAAATCATTGATTGCATACCTGTGATCCTGAGTATGGCCAAACTAATATTTGCTTGTCATTTGTTGTTTTCATACAGCCACTCTACGAACGACTAGGAGAATACAGGGAGGACTCAACATTAGTGTCTCGCACACCCAATGTGTATAAGCTGCCACCAGAGATGCGACCCATACCATGTAAACCTCTATTCTTTGACCTTGCTTTCAACTTTGTTGAATTCCCGTCTCTTGAGGACAAAATAGAAGCTGCAGCAGGAGGAAAGAAGGGAGGAGCTGGACTCACAGGCTTTGTGAAGGGTTTGTGGGGATGGGGAGGCTCTGGCAAGAAATAGAATGGAATTGTGCTAAATCTGAGGTTTTCACAATGGTGACTGTGTACTGAGTACTGTTTTGTGGGTTGAGACACTGAGTAGTGTGGTAGAAGTTTATTGACATTTCAGAGAAATACACTGTCTTCATCTAGAGGGCAGAGACGAGCATAGTGACCTCAAACATCAGTAAACATCAATCAGGCTATACAGCGTCACATCTCAGATGACAGTATTCTTCAAAAGGATATTAGTTTTCATTCCGCTGCCATAGTTGACTTAAATTAAACTTTGCTACATTATCATGAGCTCGTGAAGTAACAAACTTTGGCTTAGTACAGTGAGAATTATTGCGAATCATGCAGCCCAGTAGCCATTCTCACATTATGGCAAACCTGAGAAAAAAAATTATATCTATGTAAGTATTGAACTATTTCATTGACAGTAGTGTGGAAATGAAAACTGGTCAGTAATGTAATGCATTATCATCTCTATCACGAAAGGGGATATATTCTGTTAACGCTCATGCCCACTGTCCCAGTTGTGGTATAGGATATGTATATTTTCCTATGGAATACTATGTACATCTTACATTTATGAGTTAAAAATATACAATGTCCTTGATAGTTCCTGCATATAATTTTCATCTTAGGTTACACCTTACTAAGAAAGAAGAATGGGGCATACATTTCAACCAGTAAAGGGGGTGGTTATCTGTCGAATGAATATTCGCTTGCGTAATATGTTCTTAATCAATCTGGGGTCTCCACAACTATTTCCACATTCATTTTTTATGGAAGATGGTAGTAATTCACATGGGCTTTCATGTAACATTGTATCTTTGAGTGGAAGGAACTTTCTTTTATATGGTGTCATTGTAATTTAACTGGCATTCCAGATGTGTGATGGGCAAATTATAAAACAGCAAAATTTGTATATTGTGGTGTTGTGGGTTATGATGCTATGTAGGTGGGTACCAGCAGCTGGGAAGATCATACTACCTGTGCCTTGTAGGGTTGAAGTCCAAGCTTCACCTCCTGAAGATGGAGATGTTCATATCCACCTACTAAACTGAACCTACTGCCTCCACCTTTCTGGTTTTAAGTCCATATGTCAACACTAAAGACACAAGCAACTGTATTCTTCTGAAATGTTGGTATCCACCAACAAAACTAAACGGTGTCATAACTGAAAAAAATAACAATATGAATATTTGATGCCATGGAAACCACGAAAATTTTATATAAAGAAATTTACATGGGTAATTTAATAAATTCCTATCTAAAGAGTTGCATATAATGTTGACAACAGTAATTATGTTCCACCAGTCAAATGGCATGTCACAATATCAGCTGACAAGAAATTGCAACAGATTCAAGTGTCTGACATAATTCTGCAGTATTGCACACTGGTGTGATATAGTGTGTGTTGAAAAAGTTTGTTTTGATTTAGTAAAGTATCTGTTTCAATTCCAATTTGAGTATAAAAATGTGAACTGAATAGTGTTTTCTGTAAAAGAAATTACAGAACTTCTCTTAATTATGCTTATATTGCATATATACAGAACACTCCTTGCCTTTTATACAACCAATAAGATTTAATCATTGTTTTTGGAATGATAACTCTGTTCTTACCTAATTTATATGTCATGCAGCAATTTAAATTGTAAATTCTGCATTTTTGCAATTTACTTTTTCCATTAAGTAGAGAATCTAGTTTTACTGATTAGATTTTTATATACAAGAAGTCATGTGTATATGGTTTAGGTTATGGCATTAACAGTGGTATTAAAAGGGAAAAAAATAATCTGTATTTATTTCTATGTCAGCACATTTTCAACACATAAAGTATGTACTATTGATCGTGGATGCAACCTGTCTTTGCAGTGTTGAAGCTAGAAACCCAAGAAATATTTAAGGTGGAAGGGTTGCTATGTACATTTATGAGAGGTTTTTAAAAATTTTGACTTGCCTTTGACAACTCTGACCTTTTCACATACTTTAATTACCATGGTCTATGAGTAGGAAACCCATAAAGATGGAGGGTTGTGAACCATTAGTACTCACATTATTTATTTAAGTGGGACTGGCCAGTCATCTGAATTATTTTCTACTCCCACATCCCTTCAAGGCTAATACCAAGGGGATTTGCAACTTCCCCGTCTTTGATAAAGGTTTCTACTTCCCAGCTGTCCCATCAGCTTTACATGTCACATAATTTTC